ACGTATTCCCTCTAGAATCAAGAGTAAGACAAGGGTGCCCCCTCTCACCACTCCTGTTCAATACAGTGCTCAAAACTTCAGCCATAACAATCAGGCAAGAAAAAGAAGGAAAATGGACATGAATAGGAAAAGAAAAACTCAAAGTATATTTATTCTCAGATTACAGGATCCTTTACATAGGAGACCCACAAACTCCATCCGAAGACTCTTGGCACTACTAAACAAGTTCAGCAAAGTAGCAGGATACAAAACAAACACACAAAATCAATATTTTCCCTGTACAGCAATGAACTTCTCATGAAAGAAATCAGGAAAATGATTCCATAAAAGGAAATACTTAGGGAGCAACCAACTCAGGAGGTAAAACACCTCTGTAAAAAAACAACAGTTCTCTGAAGAAAGTGGTTGAACAGGACATCAGAAAATGGAAAGATGTCTCCTGTTTTCGGATTGGCAGAATCAATATTATCAAAATAGCCAATTAATAATGAGATACAGTAACACAATTCCAGTTAAAATACCAGCAGCATTCTTACAGAACTAGAATAAACTAATCCTGAAATTTATATGGAACCAGAAGAGATTCAGAACAGCCAAAGCAATCCTACATAAAAGAAGAAAAGCAGGAGACATCACAATCCTGGATTTTAAGTTATACTACAAAGCTATGATAATTACAAACAGTATGGTACTGGCACAAAAATAGACAGATAGACCAACAGAATACAAGACACAGAAATAGCCTCATGCACCTTTAGCCATCTGATATTTGACAAACGGACTAAAAGAAATGCTGAAAAAAGACAGCCTCTTTAACAAACACTTCAAAAATTGATTATGCACACACAGAAGAATGAAGCTAGACCCGTCTTCTCTCATTTTGTACTGTGATCAAATCAAAATGAATTAAAGACCTAGAAACACAGAACCTGCTAAAAGATAAAAGAGGTGAAACAAGGACTTCCTGAACAGAACTCCAACTGCACAAGCAAAAATGCCAAAAAATGAACAACAGGATTATATTCAATTGTAAAGCTTCTACACAGCAAAGGAAAGAATCAATAGAGTGAGGAGACTGATACAGAATGGAAAAAAATTTTGTCAGATACTCCTTGAACAGAGGACTAATATCTAGAACATACACAGAACACAAAAAAGTTGTATCCCACAAACCAAAAGACCAAATCAAAAACTGGTTCAATAAAATGAATAGATACTTCTCAAAAGAACTACAAATGGCCAATAAGTACATGAAAAAATGCTCAGCATCTCTGGCCATTAAGGAGGTGCAAATCAAACTACACTGAGATTCCATCTTACTCTAGTAACAATGACTATTATCTAGGACTCAAAAATAACAAATGCTAGCGAAGATGTGGAAAAAGAGAACCCTTCCACATTGTTTGTGGGAATGTAAACTATTACAATGACTTTGGAAATCAGTATGGAGATTCCTCAAAAACCTAAAAATAGTCAATGGTCAAATTCCATTTTATCCAGCTTGGGTTATCTTCCTGAAAGAGTTAAAGATATCATATCACAGTGATACATGCATCCACATAGTGGAGTATCACTTAACAATAAAGATGAGTGAATCTGAGTCAACGGTAGGAAAATAGGTGACTCTAGAAACTATAAAAGTAAAATTAAAAAACCTGTGTTTATTTGATCAATTTTACATTCTTATGTCTAGTGGACTGAGCAACTTCACTGAAGATAACAGTACGTAATATAGCAACCATTGTAAATTTTTATCACTTTGTTTTGAGGTCATGTATCATTTTGTTGTTTTTGTGTTGCTTTGATTTTGTCTTCACTGTTGTTTTGTCAGTTTCCTAACTTTTAGAATGAAAAAAAGTAAGCAGAATAAATCAGACACAGGTGGTGAAATACTGCATGGTTTTAGAAACCCAAAATATAAGTAACTTAAAGAGCAAAACAGAAGAAATAATCAGAAACAGGGAGGTAGACTTCAGAAATGGGGAAGGGAATACAGAAAAAGGAAAAGAGGAAGATAGGAAGGGATAAGAGAAAGGCCACAAAAAATGATCTAAACACTATAAACCCACAAAATGTTACATATCAAAAATGTATACTAACAAAAAAGCCAAATAAAATTCTATCACTTGTAGCAAAATGGATGATACTTTTTTTTATTTTAAAAAGAAAAGAACAATACAAAACATAAAAAGTATAAAAATGATACAGAATTTCAAAACAAGATAGGAAATCAACAATGGTTGTTGCATATTTATTGTTATTTTCAAAGTAGTTGCTCAGATTACCAGATACAGGCAGGTAAGATTGATCAAACAATTAAAAATTAACTGTTCCTTTCATTAAACGTATAGAATTTAGTAGTAAAATTATCTTAGCTACCTTGTGTATATATACCTTTCTCCTTTCTTTTCTTTCCTTTTTTTCTTTCTTTTCTTCCCTTTTCTTCCTTCCTTTCTCTTTCCTTCCCTTTGTCTTTTCCTTCCTTCCTTCCTTCTTTTCCCCTCTTTCTGTCTTTCTTTCTGTCTTTCTCTTTCTTTCTCTCTTTTTCTTTCTCTCTTTCTCTTTCTTTCTTTCTCTTTGTTTCTCTTTCTTTCTTTCTCTTTCTTTCTTTCTCTTTGTTTCTCTTTCTTTGTTTCTTTCTTTTTCTTTCTTTCTCTCTCTCTCTCTCTCTCTCTCTCTCTCTCTCTCTCTCTCTCTCTCCCCCCCCCGCCCTTTGCCTTATCCCAGTTGTTCTTTACTATGGAGCAGTTTCTTTCCCTTTCACAGCCATCTATTGCACTTTTCAGATTTCATTTACACTTTCAGGTTCTTACACTAGGGAGACAATATGGTGTTTGCACATGGGGGTCTGATTTATTTTACTTATGAGTATGGTCTCTAGTTAAATCCATTTACCTATAAAAGCTTCTAGTTTATCTTTCTTTACAGCTGAGTAATACTCTATTGTATAAAGACACCACATCATTTTTATCCACTCCTCAGCTGATGGGCATTGGGTTATTTCCAAGATTTTGCTATGCCAAATTGTGGTGTTATAAACATGGGTGCACACAGATGTCAGTGGTATGATGTTTTTAATTCTTCTGGGAAAACACCCAGAAGGGTGTTGGGTTAAATGAGACCTCTAATCCTAATATTTTGAGGAATCTCCAGACTGATTTCCAAAGTGGTTGCACCAGTGTACACTGCTACTAACAGTGGACAAGGGTTACCTTTTCCCCATGGCCCCTCCAGCATTTGTTATTGCCATCTGTATTTATCTGAGAAGAGTGTATTCATCTCAGATGCCCATTTTTGGATTGCGTCTTTGAATTTAGAGGGTCTGACTTTTTTAAATTCTTTATATGTTCTAGATATAAATCCTCTGTCTGAGAAACAGTTAGCTAAAATGTTTTCCCACTCTGTGGGTTGTCTTTGTACTCTATTGGTGATTTCTTTTGACGTATAAAAGCTTTTTAATAGGATGAGATCCCAGTTGTTGATTTTTTTAAGTGTTTCCTGTGCAGTCTGGGTTTTGTTCATGAAGCTGTGCCTACTCCTATGACTTCAAGATTTCTACCTACTTCCTCTTCCAGTAGACTTAATGTTTCTGTTTTAATATTTAGATCTTTGATCCATTTTGACTTTAGTTTTGTACATGGTGATAGACATGGTCTAGTTTTAGACTTTGGCATGTGGAAAGCCAGTTTTTCCAGCACCAAAATGGATGATACTGAAAGACACTTTGTAAAGTAAGACCGACAAAAGGTAAGTACCACAAATTCTGTCTCATGTGCAGAACCTAAGGAAAATCATCATGAATGTAGCCAGTGATTCCAAGTTAAGAGATGCAGGAGGTGGATAAAGAAGCCTCAATGTGACCAGTATGTACTCTGTACCCACTGGAATATCACACTGAAGCCCATTAATATGCACCCTTATACATGCTAATCAAAAATAAAATATACTGCAAAAATCCGAAGGAGGAATAGTACTCTTTATAGGACTTTTTATATCAAGTTTAATTTCAACAGAGAATCAATAGATATTACTATTCTAAGAGTAAAGGTATCAAATATATTTATGATCACCTCTTTTTCCTTAAGTAAAGCTTCATGTTTTTCTTTAAGCCGCTTCATTTCAAATGCTAGAGTGTCTGCCCTTTTGGATTCAGAAGAAAGTTTAATGTGCAGGTCCTGAACCTTTGGTCAGAAACAAGTAAATGAAAACAGTATTAATATTCATGGCACTTCAGAGATAAGTATGTAAAAAAACTGATTGGAAATAAAATGCATATACTAAAATTATAATCTACATATTTGGAAACAGCATGTAGAAGAAAAATAACATAAAATCTGAAATATTCAATAATTAAGCCAAAAATGTTAAAAAGCAGCCTTCTAATGTTTTTCTAGGTTGTCTGATATACAGAGGAACAGAGAATTTGAGGTTACAATTCCATTTTCTACCATCCTGTAGGCATTTACCACTGATTACCAAAAATGCATAAATAATTAAAAAATTAGGATCAAAAGGCAATGGGTTTAAAGACCCAGGTAGGTCAAATTCTTTTATCAAACTTTATATTAAAACTACAGATAGAAGAAATCCATCAGTATTACCTCAAATGCTTCTGAATGTCTTTATCATTCCTAAAGGATGAAATGAAATTATAATGTTGAACTCTTTCAATTATATCAATTAAAATTAAGATATTTTCTTACCTGCCTTTTGTATGTTTCTAACTGTGTACGTGCTGCATTTGCCTTCTTTAATTCTTCTTCTAAGCTGACTGTATTATGCATATACATCATGTTTGCATCCTGTAAAGTTTTCACCTGCTTGCGGAGGTCATTTAGATCTTGTAGCTTCTGACGATAAATCTCAACTGTTGATTCAAGCTTATTTGCTTTATCAGACGTAGCCCTGTAATAACAGAGATGAAGCATTATTGTGTAAATCTTCTGGCTAGAAAATGAATGTTCCAAACTATAACACACTTGTGTCATTTGAAGTTCAATTTTTGTTATAAAGATATCATACTTTAAAATACATCAAATTCGATACACTGTTATCAAGCTATTTTTAGCCCAAAATATAAAAAATGAGGGCTAGGGATTTAGCTCAGCGGCAAAAGCGCCTGCCTGGCAAGCGCAAGGTCGTGGGTTCGGTTCCCGGTACCGGAGAAAAACAAAAAAAAAATAAAAATTAAAAAAATTAAAAAAATAAAAAAATAAAAAAGGAGTAACTCAGGATATGTAAATGAGCAAACTATAAGCCATTCTATAGTTTGTAGGAAAACCTTGCTTTATATATATCATTTAGCACAGTTTTATTCTAAGTGTTTGATAGAAAGTTGGCTCAATCTAAAATTTATCTGACAAAGAACTTTTCTTTAGAATTTCACCAGATAAATCACTAATGTATATGGTTCCAAATTAGTGGCTATAAAGTGGCTATATAGATTTTGTTACAATTTTCTGTTGTAAAAATTTTCCTAGAATCTGCAAAAAATAGCTAATTACAATAATGTAACAGAAAATATATACTCATCTGTCCAGTCTCTTGATTAGATAACATTTCAAAGGTTAAACATACAATTTATATTACCAAGATAATTTTCCTTAAGATAAAGGAAAATATTTTTATATACAATGCCAAAATAATTATGATAATACACATCCTCACAAAAAATTTCTCAAAATATAATAACGGATACAAGATCAAGGTAAATGTATCATTTATAAAATCTTAAGAAAAGTCTCCTCTAAAGTCAAAATGGATCAAAGATCTAAATATCAAAATGGAAACACTAAATCTACTAGACAACAAAGTAAGTAGAAATCTTGAAGATATAGGGGTAGGCAGAGAGTTCATGAACAAAACCCAAGCCAGATAGGAAACACTTCAAAGAACCAACAACTTGGATCTCATCTTATCAAAAAAGTTTTTGCACAGCAAAAGAAATCACCAACGTAATGAAAAAGAAAACCTGCAGAGTGGGGCAAAATTTTAGCCAACTGTCCCTCTAACAAAGGACTTCTATTTACAACATATAAAGAACTGAAAAAATATCAGGTCCCCCAAATTCAAAGACCCAAATCAAAAATGGTCATCTGAGATACATACATACTTCTCAGATAAAGAAATACAAATGGCAAATAAATATATGAAAAAATGTTCAACATCACTGGTCATTTGAGAAATGCAAATTAAACAGCACTGAGAATTCATCTCCCTCCAGAAAGAATGGCTATCATCAAAATATCAACTACTAACAAATGCTACAGGGGCTATGGGGAAAAAGGAACCCTTCTCTACTGTTAGAGTGTAGACTGTCACAACCACTGTGGAAATCAGTGTGGAGATTCCTCAAAAAACTAGGATTCGAGGTCCCATTCCACTGAACTGTTGCTCTTCTGGGTATTTTCCAATAAGAATTAAAAACATCATACCACAGCGATATATGTGTACCCATGTTTACAGCACCACAATCTTGCTAAATCTTGGAAATCTAGCTAAATCTTGGAGACAAACCAAATGCCCATCAACCAAGGAAAGAATAAAAAAGAGGTGGTATTTTTATACAATGGAGTACTACTCATCTATAAAGAATAAACTTGAGGCTTTTATAGGTAAATGGATGAAACTTAAGATGACACTCGTAAGTGAAATAAATTACACTTTCATGTGTAAACATCATATTGTCTCCGTAGTGTAAAAAACTGAAAGAGGAAGTAAGATCCAAAATGTACAATAGATACTGTGAAAGGAGAAAAAAACTGCTCAAAAGGAAAGAACAACTGGGATGAGAGAAATGAGAAAAAAAGGGAAAAGAAAAACTGCATATACATAAGATAGTTAAAATAAATATACTACCAATTTCTATTAGTTTATTAAAAAGAATGGTGTGTGCTCACATTATTTGATTAATCTTTCATGCCTATATCTTCTAATATGAACTACTTTGAAGATAAAAATATGCAATATATTAACCATTGTTAATTTCCTATTATCTTGTTTGAAACTCTATCATTGTTTTGTCCTTTTCTCTTTAAAATAAAAACTAAAAAAAGAAAAGAAAAAAAAGAAAAGTCTCATCTTGGGTTTAAATGTTCCCATATGAAATCTAGGGGCCTGAATAAAGAACTGATCAGAATTTGAGACACAAGGATAGCCTAAGAATCCATGAGTAAAATATGGAACCCTCAAGTAAGCTAATATTTTACATAATAATGTATATAGATAAGACATACCTGAGAACATCAATTTCATCTTTTAGAGCTCTTGTTTCTTCAGCAATCCCAGTCAATTCATCATTCCTATGCTGAAATTCAATCAGTTGCTTTTCAAGTTCTTCACAGTGAACACGGTAATCATCTTTTGCAGCTTCAAGTCTTGAATGAAGAAATTTATAATTTCTATCATTTGTCTTCCTATTTAGACATGACCTTAGCATGATGTATTTAAATTCTACGTTGGAAACAGGAGACTGAAGGAATAAGATACCTTTTGGCTCTAATTTTCAAATAGACAAGGGAAGTAAGCTTACTATTCTTACTTTTGAAGCATTGTACATAGTTATCTCCTACTTCTAATAGAAATTTTAATTTCAAAAGATGAAAAATGCGTAAGATAAATATAATAATTATTTTAAAATATGCATAGCATATAAAGAGATAAAATATTAACTCAGATTATGATAAATTAAAGACAAACTTTAACAAAATGAGTCTGGAACATTTTGCTGTGTCAGAAAGAGAGCACCCACAGAAAGGTAACATGTCACCAATTGAAAGGCTTCCCATTGACAAAATGGAGCAGTTCGAGCATCAAACTAAAATGAAAGTGACGGATTTATAGTCAACTGCAACAAGTGTAAGAAGGAGATCCTTGTAGTAGTACTGCAACTTTTTTTTGCAAGTTTGAAATGTTATAAAAAAAATACATGGGGGGCTGGGGATTTAGCTCAGCGGCAAAAGCGCCTGC